GGGGCCCCCCCCCCCCCCCCCCGAGACCTGTATACAGGATGGGTAAGAATCAGAACTTCCAGTGTGTCAACATTTCTGTTTGGAACTGAGATGAAAAGTGCAAATATAATAAAATGAAAAGTTTCTGGAAAAAGTTGGTCTAGAAATGGCTGGACATTGAGTTTGGGGTGAGATATTAACCCACTTGTGTGTCTGCTGCCATGGAATATCCTGGCAGGTGTAGTTCAGATGCCTCCTGCCCCAGTCCTCACTGTTGACCCTAACCCAACATGCACACTAAATCTCCCATGATACCCAGTGAAAAGCACTGCAGTGATGTTAGTTTCAGAGCATTGAGGGCCTTTTGATGGTTGCTTGCCTAAGGTAGGAGCACACTCTAAGAGTAATGGTCTTTCATCCATCAGTTTTCCACCATTCCTTCTACCAGTCCATCCCCCTAGGCAGCACTGCTGGAAGCTTGTATTCAGACTAGGCTCCAAGATGACTGCCTGTAATTTATGCACTATGGATGGGATTTCCAAAGAAGCCTAAGGGCGTTGGGTCCATAACCACTTCCTGTATGGCCTTCTGAAGCTCTCAGAGTGAGGTTATGTGATTCAGTCCTTAGAATGCCAATGGACCCAGTGCCTGGACCATGCCAGTGCCCTGCACTGCTGGGGTGAATGTTAGGGAACTAGGGTTAGGGTGGGAAAAGCCAACCTGCCTGAAAAGTGCATGTTAGGGATGAGACAGCAGGCACCTTGTTCTCAGATCCTGCAGGCAGAGAAGACAGACAGGACACTCCTCTGGGCAGAGGCATTAGGAGTGTGTTGTGTCAGCATATGGTCTAGGAGCATCCACAGGTTGTGATATTCCAGTGATTCTCAACCAGGGTGCTGTGGCACCATAGGATGCCATGAGAGCTTCTGCAGGGTGCCACAAGGTGTTAGGAAATAAGCAGGTGTGAGGAGACCAGAACAGGCTCAGGCTTATTTCTGCCTGACTGCTGTCCTGCCCCCACTGTCTGGCCCTTTGGCAAGGAGGTAAGCCCTATAATAAATACATGAACTTTTGAAATGGGTAGCACTCAATTCACAAAAGCTATGGAGGGGCACTTGAAGTCAAATGGGGGGGGTGCCTCATACCTCAAATAGCTGAGAACCACTCTGCTATTCCATGTGTATTTTCACAGATGTTATTCCCATGCACTCTGGAGTCTGAGGCCTGGATGACTACTTATGCAGGTTAAATTCAAGATGACCCTGCTGTCTCCAGGGGAGCTATTCTAAATCACTGCAAGCATATCTAGGAAAAGAATCCAGCCCCTGGAAGGCTAATGCTTGGCACCACCTGAGACATGCATCATTGTACAGCACTGGTTTTTGTGGTTATCCCAAAGGAGCAGGCAATAGCAGTGATAGGGGCCCCAAGGATTGATTGTTTAATCCCACTGAAGCTCAAACCAAAGGCAAAGCAGCACTGGCCTAGTGCAGAAACTACTGGCCAGGACCTGGCCTGTGTTGTGCAAAGAGGCAGACAGTGTGGTCAGAGCCTTGTCTGGCATTGGCAACTGTGACCCTGTGAATGTAGAGCGTACATGAGTATTCATGTACAGTTGGACCTGCCTGCTTACATCAGTCTCCCACTTGTCAATGATGTCTAAGTAAACATCGTAGAGGGCATCAATCTCTGTGACGGCTGTGTGGGGGCGTGTGTGCAGGGGCACCAGCACGAACTCCTTCACCTCTGCCAGAGAAACAGCAGTTATACACACAGAGTCATCATACATGCATATGCACACCGGCACTCGTGCATACAGTTATCTGTCATCTCCACTAACACAACTCAGGGTTCCCCCAACCAGACCTAAGAGAGTACTGGCTCCCTAGAGCTGAGTGCCCTCACTCCCCATCAATGGATTGAGCTCCTTGCCCCTCATCAGCACATTAGTGCCTATCTGCAGTGCTAAGAAGTCCCTAATGGCTGTGGAGTTCAACACAGGCATAGCTCATTTGTCAAAAACATGGATCCTCAGGACAGTGCACAAGGCAGCGTGGGTAAGAACAGGCCCCCATAGGGCTCAGAGTTCCCTTACTATTCATTCCCTTGTTGTAAGTGGCAGTTCACCAGTGCACTGTGGCCCAGCCGGGTTCACAGATAAGTCTCAGGAGTAGGACTGGTGAATTAAGCTTGAGGATGTCACAGTGCAACAGAAGCGCCCAGAGCAAGATGCCCTACAGGCCTGGGTATGGCCAGGGCCAGGCAGCGCTGTAGGTGAGATGCTAATCTCCCATCCACCCACTCTGCTTACTCAAATAGGGAGAGGAGAACTTCATGATGAAAGGCTCCCGACTGAAGATGTCCTCTGGGTCCTCATACTGGTACCTGTCTACCACAGACACCACCTCTTTCCTGGGTAGGGAGACAAAGAGGGTTGGACAGAGCAAGATGAGAGGGAGGGAGCTTTAGGAGGGTTTGCAGAAGGCTTGGTCTGCAGGGACTGGCCTACAAGGGAAAGTTCTTATGGGGGAAAAAAATCTCTATCAAGTGAACTGGATCCAGCTGTATGCATGGAAAAGCGCCGCACAGACAGGCACAGGGAAAGCCTCTTGGACAGTGGTGCCCATGTGTCGCAGAGCACTCAGGTGCCCTGCGCCTGAGAGCA